AATTCGTTTTCTGAAAAGCAAATCAATGATTAACTCAACGGTTTAAAAAGCAATGTTTTTTTAAGTTCACTAGAAAATTTTCTATATCATGGAGGCGTTTTACATACCTAAATTGCATAATAAGGACAAACACCCAGACCAGAAAATTTATTTCAATACCATACAACCAAAGAGTATAGTAACTGTCCTATACAGGAACATACAACTTTTTTTTATAGGATTGGGTGACAAACGAGCACACAGTCCACCTGATGGTAAGTGGTTGCTGCGGCCCATAGACATCCACATCTATCCTCGTTGCGAATCAAAATGCAGATGCGTTGTCACCCGTGAGGACTAAGATGGAATGCCTCTTTTCCAGTAAAAAGGGTCTCCGGTTCTCTACACTCACCATACGAAACACAGCATCGTTAAGCTGCTATTTTACGCTGGTATTCTGTGAGAGCGTGGTCTTTCCCGGTCGAGCCGACCCATAGTTGCAGCATGGCTCTACCACGTTGAAAAAACTTCTTTCTTCATGCGGAAATAAAACCATCCACAGCGCCATCAGCTGTCAAATTAATGAGAACATGATCTGGACAAGCCCATGCGTGACGATTAAGGTAAATACTTTAAAATCTAAATTATTAATATTAATATATTATGTATTTATATTTATATATAAATACATATATTAATATTATATATTTATTTTATTTTATAATATTTTGAATTGTTTTTGTCCTACGTCCAAGGACTGGTAGAAAATGTCTGAGCATCAAGTCCGCCCTTTTTATCCTTTCATATAGGGAGCGCAATAAATATTTCAATTAAATTAAATTAAGAACGAAAATCCGGCCTGATTTGACTTTATTTTAATTTTGTAAAAAACCACTGAGTGATTAAGGCGACGTTAATACAGATCAATTTTTCCTGAAAGAAACATGTCATTACTTAAAACTGAATTAGGAGTGTGGTGAGCGTTTAAAGAACAAACAGTTTTTCTTGTAGTTTCTACCAAGAGAAGAACGCCATATCCAAATTAAAAACTGAAACACGCGTCTATACGTTTATACTTCTAGCGCCACAGTGAGCGCCCATATGAAACTATTTTCGCGAGAATTTGAAACCTTTGTATTTTGTAGCTTTAAACTTTTTATTTAAGGCATATTCGAGTAATTTTCGCTCAAGCCTCACAAATCTATGGGGTAAATTCGATAAATTCTCATACATTAATTTGAGAGGTTGCACCAAAATTACTCGAATAATTATACTTTAGATTAGTATGTGGGATAAAATAAAACTATAAATAAGTATAGTTATATCATTTTATTTTCTGGAAGACAGATTGTTTTATAAACTATACATGATTATTGATCTTTTTTTATTGCTTTTGCACATAATATTTCCACGCTTGTTACTGATATATAACTTATGTTATTGTCAAAGAGTTATTCTTCACAGAACATTAAATTTAAATCAGCAAAATTCTGATGGTGAAAACTTAACTCAGCCTAAATACGTGATCTGAAACAGATACAATCCGAGTCAATATAGTAATAATCCCTACAGATAACGGTCAATAAATTCAAAATGTTTATAGACTTACCACAATATTGTCATAAGTTTTTCTTTTCCTATTATAGGAAATACCTCACATGGAATACTGTTCCCACCTCTGGGCGGAGGGTACCTAGTGACAGGTCCTTCCACTTGACCGCATCCAGCGCAGAGTGGCTCGAATCGTCGACGACCGAGTCTTTTCTGATCGGCACGATTCACTGGCACTGCGAAGAGATGTTGCATCTCTTTGCGTATTTTACCACGGGGAGCGCTCTGAGAAATTGTTCGGACTAATTCCAGCCGCTCAATTTGACCATCGCACATCGCGACAAAATTCGCGATCGCATCCATACCATCTGGATGATTGGCGGTCTACCACTGTGTGATTTAGAAGAAGTTTTCTTTCTCGCACAACTTCCTTGTGGAATCGATTACCACCAGCGATTTGCACCACCCATGAACAACTGCACAACCTGGTGTTACAGTTGTTCATGGGCGGCGGTAGTCACTTACCATCAGGTGAGCCGCATGCTCGTTTGCCCCCTCTCTTATAAAAAAGAGTATTTAGGCTCAGAGCTACAACAGTGGCTTTGAACGAGTATATAAATAAATTAAAAAGGCAATTTGTTTTACAAAAATATATTATTTTTAGGACAGATCCCGGATATTTCAACATAACACCCTTAATAATAAAAGTCATAATAATTTTCTAATTGATATCAACTCAAATCACCCATTGAAGTAATATCACTACATAATAGAAGATACGCCGAGACTTGGTTGTTTGCAATACGCATTAGAACCCGCAGGCTCAAACTAACTTAGTCTGCACCATCATAAGGTACTCTGTGTACTTCCAAGCGTCCCGCACTGAAGAACAGATTTTGTTCGCGGTGTTCTAGTATGTAATGCACATTACTTCAAAGCAATCACTGAAAATAAAAATAAAGTCATAGTAATTCTCTAATTGATATCAACTTCAAATTACTTACTTAAGATGAAAATAAATAACATTTTTTATAAAAATAACAAAACATAGGTAATACCGAAACCTTACTAAAAACGTTTTTCCCTTACAATCATATTAATTAAAAAATATAGTTAAAACTCCATTGTCTAATAAAAAACGTTAATTAAAAATGTCAAAATTACACTTACGAGTATATAATTTTACTATTCCTTTATACCTTGTTTTCAGGTAGTCTTAGAGCACTCTGAATGTAAATATAATGAAGTTTTAACACTCCAAGAACGCGCTTAGACTATGAAGTGTGATGATAATTGTAAGAATACTATTATTATATTGTCTTGATTTACCTCAATGTTAAGTGGCTTCGCCTTGGTGGCAGAAAAAGTCGTGGATGCCATCATTTGGTGAAAACTGAATTATAAAATGTATGTATAGGTACATACTTACGTGCACACAAGTCAAGCTAATAAAAGCTTGTTAAAAAGGGATAGATGGTACACATTGGTCCGTATGTGGGAACTGCTATTAACTCATAGTTCACTTTTTATGTATCAGCCTAGTTTTAGTAGTATTGTAATTATTCTCTTAAAATTGTTAAATAAATAAATAATAGTAATAAATTCAAGCAATAAACGAAAATATATATTTTAAAGTCAATTTAGCTTGACGCTAAGGATGGATCCAAATATTTCTATGCGATCTTCTTATCTTATTATCATTTTGTTTTTGTCTTTTATCTTAAATGAAAAGTAAAGTTACAAATAAATCAACACATAACAAGGCATACAAGCCAGTTAAAAACACACACATCACACATATTTTCCAACTTCGAGTCCAAGACTAACAAAGTTAAAGTACGCAGGTATTTTGATAATTAAGTAATGTAATGTAATTAAACATTTATAATAGTGATCTATTACATTTTTTCTATAAAATAATTAAATTTGCTAATTTAAAAGTATTAATTTTATAATATTTATTAACCAATTTCAAAATTGAAAGACTTTCACTTGTAGCAAGAGCCCTTACTAATATTATTTTACAACATTTTTAATGTTTGTTCAACAGCCGTTTTTGTCAAATAAACATGACATAGAAACTTACAAATAGAAGATATTAACAAATATAAATTAACAAAATAATAAAAGTAAATTTGACCTTCTTATTTAAATTTGGCCTTTGTTTTCGGAACGTTTCAAAAAGTTTTTAATTTAAATTTAACACACTTGGAATGTTTAATATTAGTAGGAAGTTTTTATTTAAATTTTAGAAAAAGAAACGCATTGAAATTTCTCAATATATTATAAATCGTTTAAATCTTATAGGTATTTATAATATCACAATCTATGTTGCCATACAGTCTTACAAAACGTCATCCATTAATACAACAACAACTAACAAGAAGTGAGGATTTTATTTAAAAACAAATACTCACGCATGTTCACAACTTAATGTAAATAATTTTAACATGTTGGCAATACTGAAGAACATAAAAAAATATACTAGTAGTTGTAGAAGGAACACAATTTTCATTTACAAAAAAGACTAAGCCCCAACAAACATTGTAAAAATCACTATATTTTTATTATTTATTTATTTATTCATTTTAGGAAGTCTTACAGACTACAGATACAGATAAGTCTTACAGACTTATCTTCGTAAAGTTACAAAATGGTGATAAGAATTGCTAATTACACGTCTCCACATATTACTTTAATCCAACTTTATACAAATTTAAAATACTCCAGGGATTACTTAAACTACTCATAAAAACAATAACAAAAAAAAGTAGGCAAAAACGTTATCAAGACGCAACGCAACGCATAGTTTAACTTGCCGTGAGACCAAGGAGCTTGCAACTTGAGTCATGCGAGTCACGGCTGTGAGTGAAAAATTCTCTGTTCATCACTTTTTTTTACAGATTTCGAAGTAGTAGAAAATAGGTTTTTTATTAAAACCATTATTTATTCACAGTCATCATTTCCTAAATTTATACTTTATACAGTTTGCCACAGATATATTGAGCAATAAAATTATTTAGTGAAAAATATGTATACTGACATTATTAAATATTATGATATTTGTTTGAAACGTTATCTCTTCTATTTACAAATATATTACAAGTCTACTTTATTAAGGGCATAATTTCAATAATACTTTGCTTTCCGCATTTTAATATTTTTTGTTTACCTACATCTAGTTTTTAAAATTGGCAAGTCGATTACAATTATAAAGATGTTTAGATTTTTTAATTTTGTTTAAAAAAATAAATTTACGAAACCTTGTCATAATTTTTGTTAGCAGAGAGCGAAATCGGACACAAATATTATATTAAATTACCAGCACCATATAAAATATAATGCAATTAAAATATCAATCTCCACAATATTCATAGTATGAACAATAAAAAAATGCCATTCCAGATGAGATATCATCTGTACAAATGAAAGCACGTAAACACTTTTGCGATGGCAGAAAAAAGCCTCCGCTATTTGACGTAGTCACCTTTTTCCCCCGGTGCCGCCATTTTGATGGTGTCTTGTTGTGTTAGCGAATCATTAGTATCTGAAATGGCTGTGGAGGGTTGGGTTTCCTTGTACCAGCCGCACATTCTATTTACTGCCTCTTCCCAACGGCGGAAAGTATATTCATATGCTTTTTTAATATGAGGACGGGGAGTGAAAACCGTGCCAATTTTTCGCATTGACTTTAGTTTTTCTTTTGATTTGAATATACCTAGAAATTTGAAAAAACACAAACACATTAGCACAATAAAACTAACAATTTAAATAACTATGATTGCTGCTGTGGATTAATTTAACTTTTAATAATGAATATTTATAGAAACGTTTATTTGTCGCGTGGATTTATTCGTTTATGAACATAACACTAAGTAAATCATTCTCAAACTCGCTCTCAGAATCAGAGCACATGATATCGTGCGCCCGCTAACAAGGAACAAGAATGTCTGACGCCAAACGTATGTTGCATACGTAGGCCAAGTGTGTACACCAAAGTGGGATCGTTACATCGCATATACGTTGGGCAAGTGGGATCCGTCTGTTTCTCCTCTAACCAATACAATCAAGTACAAAGAGAGAGAAGGCTAGCAAATGGACGCAAAGGCAGATCTTAACTACCACTTGTTGGTAAGTGGTAATAAAACCTTAGATAGTAAATCGCTTGTCTTGAATACACTCTAATTAAAAATAAAATAAAATTTATAAGAATTAAACTTACAAGCTGTCCAATAGTTATTTTTAAAATATATAAAAAAGGAAAATACGCCATTTTTAGTTACCGTCAAACCGTCCAATTTTGCCAACGTTGTATATTTTGCCCGCTATGCCAATTTTAAGCTCAATCGCAAAATTAAAAATTACTATTTAATTTAGGTTGATTTGCTTTGTTTTAAATAAATGTAGATTATATTTCTGGCAGCAGTAGGAATGATTTATGTCTTTAACTACACTCAGTTGCTTGTCAGAACAAGTCAAAGTGCACATGTGTTTTGATGCGGGTCAATTTAGGCTCAGTGTTACTTGGTATGCTGCTCAATGCCGAAGACAAAGGTGAGTTTTTCTTGTTACATGGTTTAGAAAGGGGTTTCGAGGATCTTTTTCTTATGTATACTTTCCTGTCAGTAGCTTAAATCGAGAATGATGACAGTGGGCAAAATAAGCCGCATAAGTTGCGTCTCCTGGTTGTCAATTTTGCCCATCCAAAAAAGTATACAAAGTTGTCATTTTCTTACTACCCGACTGCCTAAGAAGAAGAGATATGTTTGTGAGTTCCTATGTAGCCTCCTGTAGCCTAAACAGCTTGTCGATTTTAATGTGTGAGGTGTCATTTTTGCCTCAATGTTCGGAATTTCTACATGTTGGCTATATGTGAAAAAAATATTATTTATAGATTTATTTTAATTTTATTTATAGTTATATATAAGATTTAATTAAATACTGTGGATATAGGCAGGTACTTACATCTATTTAATTAAATAAAAGGTTTTTGCTAAGTATATTTTTATTTATTTTCCTAACTATGCCCACCAGATTTTGTCAACCCTAACACCTACAAATTGCTTATATGAAAACAAATGGATATTGAAGGCTAAATTTTCCCAAATGTTTTATAATGAATCTATTGTGCAAAAGCGATTGGTACCGTGATAGAACTTTGCCCATAAACTTATATTAGTTCTTTGACAAGAATGCCATAGGAGCTATAGTTCCGCATATAATGGATGCGGGCAAACATGGACGAAAATAAAGGTAAATTTGCCAGTCATCAAAATTTCAAATTGATTGAAATTGTATGTAAATAAAACTGAATTTACAATCGTAACGCAATTCCATAATCGACTAGGTCAGCTTTAGAAGTTGAGAAGTATAACATACCATATAATTTATTTAAGAAAATCAGCATAATTATTGTAAAAAAGCGGGCAAAATTGGACGGTTTGACGGTACTTGTTTGTGTTATGGGGCGTGTTTTATTACGCATTACACTTACGTAAAATTCGTGGATGTGGGCGCGAACGTGATTGCGTGCGTACGTGTGTTTGACGTGAGTAAAAAATAACTAATAAAGGTAACTGGACTAATTTGAGAGAATAGTTTATTTTATGGCGACCAATGCGCCTGAAACTTAGAACAAAATTTTAGGAAGGGCCCATATTGTAATGTTTATTAAAATACTTATTTAAACTTTTTAAAGTTAGACTTACCTGAAGATTAAATTACTTTATTAATTTGTTACTTAATTACTATTGACTATACCTTAAGATTAAACAAATTAAACATGTAGGATGCGAAAAGGGACAGTTTTAGAAACAATTATATATATAAGGTCAGTGTTTGGAAGTCCGTCTGGGAGGCAAGACCATCTAGCGGCAATAACTACCATTTTTGAACGACTAGGTTCTTATGCCTCGGTCGGTAAAACACTATTACGGAGCTAGTTCGAACTAAGAAATAAAGATGTCGCTAACATCATTAGGTTGAAAGAAATCGGTCAGCTATTTTATTTCGCGTTGTGAACTTGAAGTGGGAGTGTAACGTCTCTGAGAAAATAATCAAAAAAAGTGGAAAATCGGTGGTGTTTTTGGAGTTTCTCTGATTACGTAAGTCATTTAGTGATCCATATACTTATTTCTGGTGATGAATACATTAATATCGCTTGAATTTCGTAATAATTACCTTCCCAAAATACTAACCTTAAAATGTAATAGTTGGGAAGTCCATCCAGCATGCATAAGGAAAGTCCGTCATATGCCGGCCTTGCCTCGAATGCCGATATTGTCAACCTTTTCAGCTGCACGTATTTAATAAATTATTTTTTTTTGTTTTAAGGGTGCATAGTGCGTCCATTAGCGCCGCCAATCAAGAAAAATCATTAAACGAAATAACTAAATATGTTTAATAAAATTCTGGAACGTACAAAACTAGGTAAAAATGTAAACTATTTTTGTAGGCATGTGTTTTGTCCTGGTTTAAATGTGTTTGTGTAGTTACAATCTGGATTAGGCGTTAATCCAGATTGTTACTACATGAACACATTTAAACTAAGAATTAACGCATAACGCAAAATAGTTTCGAACTTAACCTAGTTTTTATAAGTTTTAAAATTTTAATAAACATACCTGGTTATTTCGCTGTAATGTTATTTATTGATTGGCGGCGCTACTGGAGGCTCGGTGCGCTCCTATGCAAATCTTGAAACGTTGTTGTTATGAAAGCTTTTCTCGGGTTTTGCAAATTACTGAATTTTGATTTTCCGCATTGCTTTTAGCACTTGGATTCCCTATCGAAAATGGCAAATATTTAACAAAATAGCTACTCCATTTGGGAAAATCACAAAACCATCGAACCTGTAACTTTTTTGTTTCAGATTTATCACCTACACGTCATTCAGAACGATACCTGATTTTCTAGATATCGATCGTTTTTTGCAAAGAACCGATTTTGAAAGTTTAAACCAAAAAAGTGGCCTTGGTTAATAACCCACTTCATACTTGCAAAAAGTTGTTTTAATTGTAGCTACAGATCAGATATTAGCTATCCACGCCACTTTAAGATTCAAGCATCGAATATACAAATTGTACTAGAATTTAATTTTTTCTGGTGTCAAGGTTGTTCCAAATTTGCTATTTACGACCATTATCCCAGCGACGAGTGCCAATTTTGCAATTATGGTCAGTAACTATATAAGGAAAACGGACAAAGCGTCCTATTCTTGGGAGAAGCTACAAGCAGCAGTAAGAGCTGTAAAAATGGGGAGCTGAGTGGTTACAAGGCTTCTCAGGAGTATAAGATTCCGAGAATGACCATAATGGACCACGTTAACAATAAGAGGACCATATCAAATTCACTAGGAAGAAACACAGCATTACCATTACAAGTAGAAAAGGAATTAGCTTTCGGTCTTCACCTGATGGAAAAGCATGGCTTTGGATTGACAAAAACAGAAATGCTGGAAAAAGTGGCCGATTTTGTGATAAAGAACAAAATATCAACGCCATTTAAAAACGGAGAACCTGGTAATACGTGGTTCACTGCATTCAAAAAGCGACATCATTTATCGGTTAAAAAACCTCAAGCAGTTGAATATGCGCGAAAGAAAGCAGTAAATCCATTTATTATATACGAGTACGTCAATTTACTTGACAAAAAATTTAAAAGATTTGAATCTTTTGGATAAACCATCTGCAATTTGGAATTAAGATGAGACAAGTTTCTCAAAAGACCCAAACAAAAACAAAATCGTTGGACTTAAAGCATAAATGATTATATCATTAGATGAAGCTAATTTTATAAAGTTCATTGCTGCCATTTGTTATTCAATAAGTACTTATTTTATTATGTGTTTAATAGCATTTAAAATTCAAATTTAATTATTATATGCTTAGATTAAACCAATGTTATAAAATTCATTGTTGCTATTTGTTACTGAATACTTATTTTTTTAATAGCATATAAAATGCAAATTTAATGATTGTATCCATAGATTAAACCAATGTTCTAAAGTTAATTGTTGCTATTGTTACTGAATACTTATTTTAAAAAATCATAAATTAAATGCATTATTGTATACTGTGATTTTGCATTTGTTATGCTACAAATAATGGTTTATTTTTATTTGAGTAAATAAACAAAATACGTACGAGTAAAGAAAAATGACACAATTTTTTAAGCAATTTTAAGAAGATAAATACTACTTAGGATCTCCAAGTATTTATAAGGATATTCCCATGTCTCTTTTTGCTCTGTCAAATTAAAGAGGCAGAACAAACTTTAATTTAGATTTAGAAATTTACCTGTCATAATCGAGTTGATTATCAAACTAATTAATTACTCAAATGCAAACTTATTAGACTGATTCTTTTCTTATATTTTTTAGCTAATATCTTCTCTAATACGGGTTCGGATCTTTTGGCATACCTGTCCAATTATTTTTTTTTACAAAAAAATATACAAAGGTAAAAAAAATTGGGAAAAACGGAAGGAATTTGACAGGTATGCTAAATATGATTGAAATATTTCTGACATGTTCAATTAGAAATAAAGATTTATGTTTTTACTTAGTATTTTATTTAAAAGAAAATTCGCTACAATTTTATAGAAAATGTTTGCAACCACTGTCACCAAAGAAAGACTTGCCTTAAAATTAAATAAAATTAAATAACTTTGAAATTTAAACCCTATGGACAAAAACATTAAGCACACATTTCAACGCCAGTTTTGCATCACTGCTAGAAATTGTTTTCATACATATTGCGTCACAAGTTATGGTTATATTGCTACTAGACGGACTTACCTCAACTCCGTCTCAAGTCCGTCTACACGCCGAGTTTTAAAAAATAACATATAATTCTAAAGATTATTGCAATTAATATAATTTTTAGACCAATATAAGTAAATTAATATATTACCTATAATTTCCGATGACACAAATCACTTTAGAAAGCGTATCTCGTTCAATAAGTTTAGTTAAACTTAAAGTATACAAAAGTATGCCGGTCTTCCAAACACTGACCTTACATATATATATGATAATTATAAATATATTTTGTAATAAAATAAATTAGTTAAACGCTAGGGCTCACCACTGACCTAATTGCAAACCAACTAAGTGTGCACAGCCTAAGGAAGACATTTCAACTTGCGCAGGTCTTTCCACGCGTAGTCCTGTGAGATCTGATATCAGCTGAGCTATGAAATCGTTATTAGAAACGCCGCCATCCAACCTGTAAAGTTTTTCTAAAGTTAAACAAAAATTTACATCCAATATACGTTCCTAATTTGGGCACAAGCCCCCTGGCAATCATGAAAACGGAACAAATAAAAAGTCTCTTTTAAATTGGTACATTAAAATCTTCATTAGGTGTCTTCGCCCTTAGAAACGGATTGTACTATTTAATAATAAAAAAGGAATCGTTTAAATCAATTTAAACATTTCCGAGAAATCGGTGAACATACATAAAATAAACATATACGTCGAAAATATATAACCTTTTTTTGAATTAGGTTGTCCTCACTGCCTATAAGAAACGTAATAGTATTATGCTGCTTTTTACAAAACAGCATTTAAAATAGCAGCTTATATCTGCTGTGTTTCGTGTGGTGAATGTAGAGAACCGGAGACCCATTTTACTGATAACGAGGCAGGCATTCCGTCTTAATCCTCACAGTTGAGAACGGATATACCTTTTTTTATTAAGAACGGATTTTAATTTGTTATTAAGAATCAAGTGAAAACATCAACTGGGCTATGTGCTCGTTTGTTACTCTTATTCCATAAAAATAAACACAATATAAATGGCTGATCTTAAAATTATTGATACTCCCAGCATTTATTCGATTCATGCAATGTTCAGTAAATGGCCTAGAATAAATTCTAGAATAATTTCGCATATAATTTAAATATAATGTATACATGTTTTATTATATTATGCAAATATCATTCGTGAGAACAACTTACATGTCTATATTTAATATAATAACGTACAATTACCTGATATCGTTAAAAACGTAATTAGTTTCTGCACGTACGCAGGCGTACAGTTGCACGGTTCGAAATGCGATGGCCTCGAGTATGGCGCGCACTAAATGCGCCTTAACCGTCGACGGCTTAATGCCGATGAAGCCGGCAGCTGCAGTGCAGTCGTTGTATGGTGCCTATAAACAAATGAATGTTTAGCTAGTAAAATGATGACGATTACGACTGGTCGTTTTCTAGAATTTCTAGAATGCCTCGTTACCAGTAAAAATGGCTTACGAAACAGCAACATAATTTTGTTTAACGCTGGTATTCTTTGAAAGCGTGTTTCCCAGTTCGAGCCGACCTGTTAAACTTGGACCGATCCATTGGAGTATAATGTACTAGTACATAATAACTCAATGGATCGATCAAGTTCTTCATGTCAAAGAGAGAACATAATTGTAGTATTTAATCATATTTATATTCTGTTTCAATAAAATAAACAAATGTGAAACGGAGTTTATTATATTTTTTATAAAAATCGAATTCATTATTTGAAAGCATATTATTTTTATCAGCCATGTGTTCTACTGCAGGTCAAAGGCATCCCGATTCCTTATTTGAGGATTATTAACTATTATATGTCTAAACAGAGCAATGTATAAAAAGAAAAAAATGTATTGTTACCGATGTAAAGTATGCAGTTAAGAGAAATTGAAAAAAGTATCGAAGGTAAAGGACCTTCGATACTTTTTTCAATTTCTCAGTTCGGTATCTAAGTTGTGCAAACACAAGGTTTTTTTTTTTAAATTTACTATCTACTTTTTTATAATCATACGTAATCTTCTATACAAATAAATAAGATTGAAATGTCTGTGTAATGTCAAAATTACAGTTTTTTACTTAATGCATATGAAAGCAAGTACGGTACTTATAACTAAAATACAATTTTTAAAATTTTTGTCTATCTGTCTGTTTGTTCCGGCTAATTTCCGAAACGGCTGGACCGATTTTAACGGGACTTTTACTGGCAGGTAGCTGATTTCATAAGGAGTAACTTAGGCTACTTTTATTTTAGTAAAAGAATTAGGGTTCCGCGCAGAAACATAAAAACCCTAACACGCGAGCGAAGTCGCGGGGAACAGCTAGTTATTTTATAAATACAATGGAAGTATAAAAAAGCGGTCTGAATATTGCTAAGAAATGGTGGCTGATACACTGCAATAGCGGCGGTGCAAGTATACTCAAACAGTACAATAAAAGGTTGCCATGTAAAACAAAATTTCTCCATTTGTTTATAAAACAATCTATCAAAATAAAGCAATACTTTGACACAGAATACAAACTAATATAAGTAACACAGCTGACGATTCAAAAATCTAAGAATTTAGGTTGTTACTCGATTGCAATCGAATAATTCTATTTCGATCGCTTAGATAGATAGGTACAATAAAAAACGTAATGATTTAATTATATGTTATTGGAACGAAACTTATTATTAAAATAGGTAGCTAACCAACTATGTATGTAATCGAATCATAGATGTCGTAACCAACTTCTTATTTATTTTCGTATAGATTTTGAAACTTTGCAAACGTATATAATACCGATGTTAGTACAATAATTTAGTTCCAACGAGATTCCAATATATTATCTGATGATGGAACCAGAATGTTGATAATGGAACACTTGAAATTTATTACCAAAAGATATCGTTAAATATTTTAAAACTACTGATGTTAAGAAAACGGCAGACTGATAGGGGATTTCCGTTAAAGTTATTTTATCTATAATAGATACAATAGCACCTTATGTAGCCACTATATTTAATACAAGCGTCCAATCCCGTGTGTTTCCTGATTTAATGAAACAAAGTCATACCTTTATTTAAATTTGCTAGTAAATTAGACCCCGCCAATTTTAGACCAATTTCTGTACTACCACCATTTCGTAAATTTTTTGAAAAAATTATTTTAGATCAGATGTTAAGTTTTTTTTTTAATATTAATAAATTGCTTCATAAAAATCAATTTGGTTTAACAAGGAGTCGCTCGACAACTGACGTTAGAGTTGAACTTATTAAACATATTTTTGGAACGAAGTTCCTTATCAGACGGTATGAATTTTGCGGATGGAGGCTAGACGAGAAAAAGTGTAAGATTTTTCCTTCACGACCTCTTCTGACGTAGTGTACACGGCCTTGACGGTTATAAGGAAGCGAAATGGAATAATATCTATATCCCTCGCACTTTTTATTATCTTGTCGTGAAAGAAATGTTATTTTAATTTAAATGACGCTTCATTTTACCAGACGCTAGTAATTCATTTATTTGTATTTGTTACTCAATAATATAACACGTTTATCAATAATAATATACTACGAAAGAAACTTCGTTCCAACCGAGTGTTCCACGACACTCACGTATGTATTTTGTGCATGGGAGAATTCAGTATATTTTGTGACCGTTCCAAGGCACAGTCGAACTGTGTTCACTATGAGAAATTAATCAGGAAGCTACAGTACTATGGTGTCAAGAACAAAGCGCTTAAACTTATTATTTTATATTTAAGTAATAGAATGCAGAAAGTTATTATGAATGGTAAAAGTTCTTCCGGGTCACCTGTACTGTACTAATAAGTGTCCCTCAGGGCTCGATTCTCGGCCCATTCCTATTTTTAGTGTATATTAATAACTTACCTTCCCTTGTAGAGAATAATTATGATATAGTATTATTTGCTGATGTTACTTCCTTCATTTTTAAACTTAAACGTCAATCATTTAAATATGACGAAGTGAATAATGCTATATCAAAATTAGTCCATTGATTTAACGTTAATAATCTACATTTAAACGAAAATAAAACTAAATGTATTTAATTTACAACGTCGAATGTTAAAAATCTATATACCAATGTGTTTTTAAGTAGGGAAAAACTAAGCCTTGTTGAATCCACTGATTTTCTTGGCATCATTCGATACAATGCTTCAGTGGGGTCTCCATATGTCTGTTTGGATGTCTGGTCTGGATGTGAGGTCTCACTAGTGTCGAGACAGCTAGATTAGATTATTTCAGTTATTTCCATAGCATAATGTCTTATGGAATTTTGCTATTGGGAAATGCGGCTGTTTTGTTTTACAAAAGAGGGCCATTAGAGTTATTTACAACCTAAAACTGAGAGAGTCTCTTAGAGATAAATTTAAAAAAATAAATATATTAACTTTGACCTCTCAGTATATTTACGAAAATTTAATGTATGTTCACAAAAACAAAGGAAGTTTTAGTAAAAACAAAAGTGATATACACTCTGTAAACACTAGGAACAAACACAAGCTAGTGATACCAGTTTCTCGATTCCACTGAGTCAGTAATTCATTCTAGAAGAATAATTTGTTGTATTATACTCTATTACAACAAATTCCCAGAAAATATTCAAGGTATCTCTATTACATACCAAGTTTAAATATTTTATTAAACAAAAACTGTATAAAAAGGGTTATTGTAATATAAATGAATACATGGTTGATAATAACTCCAGGGAATGAGATGGTCGCTTCCAAACCGTTTCTAAAATAAATTTTGTAAATAGTTAAAGTAAAACTTTATGTGAAATAAGAATAGAAGGGGAGTTGATTGAGCAAGTGGATGAGTTTATATATTTGGGATATTTATTAAGCAGGGATGGTAGATATTATAAGGATATAGATCGACGAGTGAACGCAGGAAATAGAGTGAATGGGGCTCTACACGCTATTATGAGGAGTCAGAATGTGTCAACTAAGGCACGTATGGCAATTCATAATGCTGTGTTATCATCATCATCATCATCATTACAGCCCTTCACAAGTCCACTGCTGAACATAGGCCTCCCCCAAAGAATGCCACAAAGCACGGTCCTGAGCCACCTGCATCCATCGACTTCCTGCATGTCTTACCAGGTCGTCACTCCATCTCGTGGGGGGACGCCCTACACTTCGCTTACCGGTACGAGGCTGCCACTCGAGAACCTTTCTTCCCCATCGGTTGTCGGTTCTTCGAGCTATATGGCCGGCCCACTGCCACTTCAGCTTACTAATCCGTTGGGCTATGTCGGTTACTCTGGTTCTACTGCGGATATCCTCATTCCTAAGTTTATCACGCAGAGAAACTCCGAGCATAGCCCTCTCCATAGCTCGCTGAGCGACCTTGAGCTTCCTCATACGGCCAGCAGTGAAGGACCACGTCTCAGTTCCATAAGTCATCACTGGCAACACGCACTGGTTGTACAATTTCGTTTTCAGGTTTTGAGGTATGTCTGACGAGAAGATGTGTCGTAGCTTCCCGAACGCTGCCCAGCCGAGTTGAATCCGTCGATTGACCTCTCGGTCGAAGTTGGACTTACCTAGTCGGGCTATTTGTGCCAGGTAAACATACTCGTCAACAACTTCGAGCTTAGTGCTCCCAACAACTACCGGCATAGGTGTGACATGGACATTGAACATGATCTTTGTTTTGTCCATGTTCATCTTAAGACCTATCCGTTGGGAAACACTATCGAGGTCATTGAGCATAGTGCTTAGGTCCTCCAGCGATTCTGCCATAAGGACTATATCGTCGGCAAATCGAAGGTGAGTGATGTACTCGCCATTGATGTTGATACCGTATCCTTTCCAGTCCAGAAGCTTGAAAACGTCTTCCAATGCAGCGGTGAAGAGTTTCGGGGATATGACGTCACCCTGTCTTACACCTCTCTGCAATTGGATAGGTTTCGTACTCTGGTTCTGTACTCGGATAGCCATCGTAGCCCTACTGTACAAGCACTTCAACACTTCGATATACCGACAGTCAACTTGGCACCGCTGAAGGGACTGCAGCACCGCCCAAATTTCGACGGAATCAAAGGCTTTCTCATAGTCCACATACGCCAGACATAGTGGCAAATTGTACTCTTCGGACTTCTGTACAATTTGCCGAAGGGTATGTATGTGGTCTATGGTGCTAAAGCCCTTTCGGAAACCGGCTTGTTCGGGAGGCTGGAAGTCGTCAAGTCTGCGCGCGAGACGATTCGTAATGACTCTCGAAAACAGCACGTAGACGCGGCTCAGAAGGGAAATCGGTCTGTAGTTCTTCAAGAGAGCGTTGTCACCTTTCTTGAAGAACAAGACCACCGCACTTCTGCTCCACGCCTCCGGTGTAATGCCACCATCGAGGACGGAATTAAAGAGCTTCTGAAGGACTTCAAGTACCGGTCTTCCACCCGCTTTCAGAAGCTCCGCTGTAATTCCATCCTCGCCTGGGGCCTTACCGTTTTTAAGGTGCTGGAGAGCCATTCTAATCTCGCTCAGACTGACGTCCGGGATATCTTCGGAATAGTGTCGGATGAGACTCGCTCTTGGATCGTTACTCACACTTGCGTGTGGCTCCAACGATGACGTGTACAGCTGCCCATAGAACCTCTCAATCTCACTCAAAATCTCAGGTGTCCCGGAAACGATGCTGCCACATTCTGTCTTCAGCTTTGACAGGTGACTCTTTCTGGCAGACAGATCTCTTGCAAAGACTTTGGAGCCTTGGTTCCGCTCGATCGCTTCTTCAATACGAGCTGTATTGAAGTTGCGTAAGTCCCGCCGCATGCATTTGGAGATCTGTCTGTTCAGATGCCTGTATGCTGTCAAGTCTGTTGAAGAATGTAGCTTCATCTCCCGTCTAACAGCCATGAGATTAAGAGTGTGATCGGAGAGTTTTTGTGTTCTTCTGCGGCGGGTCTTGCAGAACTTAGCTCCGACCGCATGGACAGTTTCCACGAGCTTGTCATTCATATCGTCCACTTCATTGCAGTCTTCTAGGCACTGAAAACGGTTTTGTAACTCGAGCTGAAAGGTTTCGGGACTTTGGAACAGAGCACGAGGGGGACGGAGCGTTGACTTCATTAGACGAGACCTCTCCAACTTAACGTTTAGGTTCAGTGTGCCTCTAACCATTCGGTGATCGCTACCAGTTTTCACCCTCGCGATCACGGAGACATCACTGAACAGTTGTCGTCTGGTCGTCATAATGAAGTCAATCTCATTTTTTGTCGAACCGTCGGGGCTCGACCAGGTCCACTTCCTGTGGGGTCGCTTCTGGAAGAAAGAGTTCATCATAAAGAGTCCCTCTTTCTCCATGAAGTCGGCCAGCTGCTGGCCCCTTGGGTTCCGTTGCCCTATTCCAAATTTCCCTACTTTCAGCTCACCGTTTTCTCTTGTGCCTAGTTTTGCATTGAAGTCTCCCATTAACACCGTATATTGGGTTTTGGAGGAATGCATGGCTCTAGAGATATCCTCATACATTTCCTCCACCTCCCCATCGGGGTGTGCCGAGGTTGGTGCGTAAACCTGTATGACCTTCAGCGAATACCGTTTGGTGATTCTGAGTATAAGGTATGCAACCCTCGTCGACACACTCCCGATCTTTACAACGTTGTTAACGAGAGACTTGTGGACGATAAATCCGACACCTCCTTAGGACAGATGGTCGCCCTCCCGGTGATAGAGCAAGTTGCCGGATTCGAGGATTACCGTGTCCTCCCCCTCCCTTCGGACCTCGGATGATCCTATGATATTCCAGCGCAACTTGTCTATCTCTTCTTCCAGCTCCAGGATTTTCTTGTCAGTCCTCAGGGTGCGTGCGTTATAAGTTGCCAGGTCGAGTCGTCTAAGGTGGCAACCGAACCTCCACCGGAGATTCTTAGCACCCCCTGCCCCGCCGTTACCATGGTCGCCACCGTAGCCAGGAATAGCGGGGCCGCCGGGGACTGGGGGCCGTCTCTTTGTTACATTCATAGGGGGGTATTTGCCATAGTTGCCACGTTTGGCGAGCGGGTTGGCAACCGCAGTTTTTTTATTGTAATTTTGGCTATTATCAGGAAGATGCTGCTGCCCATCTCCTGCCTGTTTCCCTTTGTCGCCTTTTACGACACCCAAGGGAGGATATGGGGTAGTGGTATTCTTGACCGCCACTACACGGCAATGCTGTGTTAGTCCCTACTTTAATGTATGGTAGTGAAAGTTGGGTCTGGCAGAAGAAGCATGAGGGTAGAATAAATGCTGTAGAAATGCGTTCCTTAAGGAGTATGCTAGGGCTGAATCTGAATTACAGGGTGAGAAATAGTGTGATAAGAGAAAAGTGTTGTTTGCAAGATGACGTTGTGATAAGGATTAAGAAAGGAATGCTTAGGTGGTTTGGTCATGTAGAAAGAATGAACGAGGAAAGAGTGACAAAGCAAATTTATGTTGCAGAAGTGAACGGCAGGGTTGGGAAGGGACGCCCTATACGAAGGTTTATCGACCAAATCGGCGACACATTAAAAATAGGCCAGGTTAGGAGTACCCTCACCCAACGAGCGTGTATGCGTAGATATATGGATGTAAAAGAGGCGAGAGAGGTGTGTCAGGATCGCGCCAAATGGAAGTCCGTAGTCGCTGCCTACCCCTCTGGGTGACAGGCGTGAGTGTTTATATATTATTATATAATTATATATATTCTTTTCTATTCATCATCATGACTGCCGCGCAACGTGGTGGACTATGGTCGTAAAATAGATCTAAGAACCTTTTCAGAAGCTAATCATATCTAACGCATAATAATCGGTCCGGATCTTTTTCAGGAAAATGATAACAAAAAAGTGCAAAAACAAACACACAACCTCATAGGAAAAACACATATACCGAGACGCTGTTCCGTCGTTAGTAATTTCCCGTGATTTCGGGTAAATTTCCCTATAAATAATTAACAACATTGGTCACGTGGCTCATGTTTTGTGTTCGACAAATAGCAATTTTATTTACGACAAAGAATTCACCATTAAGTGATTATACATAATTAATGACTTATCTATGAAAAGCGATTCCTTGATGTTTTTATTTCAATCTAACGATTGCAAGACGACATATTAATTACAAAGCAAAATTTAAATGCAAGACGGCATATTTTTTTATGTTTTAACTAACGACGTTTGTTGCGTAATGCGGCCGCTCAGTTTATTATCATTAGTATGAATGTGTGTGTGTGTGTGTGACGGCTTGTACGTACAAATGAGCCGGCATATTTGGGTGCTTCACTATAGCGAGATTCAGTCCACCATTTTTTTATACGTTCATGATAACTACATATACGTTTAAATATGGAGCCCTGGTAGCTCGCTCGTATAAGCGCTCGCCGAAAATTTTACAGTACCTTAATAACCCGTTGGATCAACGCCGCGCCGGAACCAAAGAAATTGATTATCTAAATTTGACGTTCTGTTTTACTACTGTGCTCAGCGGTGGAGAAAACATCGTTAGAAACCTGCATGTCTGAGTAATAAAATATTTCGAAGACTTTAATATGTCTTCATATGTCCGCCAACACACGTTCGATTAATGCGGTGGACTAAACGCTATATAACCATGTCAGAAATGAAAGGAGGCTTGCCAGTGAGACGCATACAGACTGTAACTTTACTTTCTAACTTTACGTATAAATAATTCTTACATCAAAATATTATTTCACTTTAAGTGACCGTATACTACAGATCTTAAAACTTATTCTCTGGGATACACGTATTCAAATTGTATTGTTTACAACTTAAACGAAAACACTTAGCTACTTTACTCACCCCTAATCCACTAAACGCTGGTATAAAGTATATCCCGTCCGTATCAGGAACAGACATCGCTATTTCAGCTGTATCAGCGGGGCTTTCAAACAATCCTGTAATTATTATAATTTATTTATGATATCTTATTTCATTCATTTTAAATGTTAACAGCTGAACCTACAGACTTCCTCTTAATTATTTTAGAGGGGATATTTTGCAATATTGCTATAGTGCTATACAACTAATCATTTAGTACATATAGATATTATATTATTGTGCGATTTGTCGGATTTGTACTGAATAAATTATTTTTACTTCTACCCACTTTATTTCCTTTCTTGATTGCAGTAAAATTGTTTTTATGTTTTTATTATTCTGTGTTATGTTTTCAATGGGGAGAGCTAAGCAGCTGTAACACAGGTCTGTGAGGTAGTACGGTTGCTAAAGATACCCAAATTTAGTATAAGATTTGGATTAAGTCTTGTCAATATAATTTTATAAGTAAATAAAATAAAAAATAAAAATAGTTGCCATGCTTAACAGGCGGGTTAGTAACGACAGTTTCTTATAATTTTGAGTTATCAGGAAACGCTGCTGCTCATTTCCTGTTTCAGTTTCCTTCTGTCGTCTCTTACGACACCCATCGGATGATATTGGGTTGAGGATTCTCTTACTCCGTCACTCACGACGAATAAATATCTTTATTGGATGTAAAAACGTTTTTCGCGTCTAAACACATAAGTTCATTACAAGCGACACAATCGCAACCAAAATATCGAAAAAAATATTTTTTTTTCTTTATTTTTTACTATAACTTTTATTGCACACCATACAAAACATACAGAAAATTATTAATACAAAAGAAGTATGCAATAGACGGTCTTAGTGCTGACAGCAATTTCTTTTCTAAACCATAAATATGGTATGAAAAATATGATATGGTATCTTCGAAATGGCTGAAGCAATTGTAATTAAACTTCACGAACAAATAAAGAGCAATGCCAGGAGTAATGATCAAGGCTATATTTTGGAGGTTTTTTTTAACATAACGACATGAAATAACGCCACATTATTAGATTCTTCCCAGGCTAAGCCGGAACAGGTTTGAGTTTAAAATAAAGAATAACGAAAAAACAACAAATTAACAAAACTGTCTATTTAATATGAAAAATATTAACCTATATTCTGCGCCCACGTTATAATAGTGGCGGTATCGTTGTTACCGCCCTCCGCCGAAAACACTATCTCGTCGCCCAGCCGCCAGCCCACCACTGGGTACAACCCCGACACACTAGCATGAGGCGAGCGGCCGGTGTTTATATTGAAGAATGTACCCGTTCCCATTGTAAGCTTCACATCGCCCGTGTCGAAACAACACGATCCCCACATTGAAGCTGTTTGGTCGGCTATCTGGATTCATTTTTTGATAATTTTAATACACATATAACAATAATTAGCTAACACAATCTGTTGTAGGTTATAAAACTATACTATAACCACAGTTTAAAGACCTTACAGTTGGGAAACGAATGTACTTGTGCAGAGCAACGGAGGGTACTGCGGGGCAGGGGGCTAGCCGACCTTGTGCTATCGCACTTCACTGAGTCTGATAGACAATACATGCAGTTGGTGCCAGCGTGTTTTATAGTATTTATTTAACTAATTTTAAATGCCGTTTCTGAAAAATATAATATCTATATTGGTGAATTACTGTTGTAGTTATATGAATTACTAAGTAAAATTCAAATGACGGCCATGCTTGTTTCCTTCATTTTTTTTTTGTTTTGTATGTACATAATAAGTATTATAATATCCAAAATCATTTTATTTCCAATTTCGTGACAACCGAATAAATAATAGTACTACGTACAGAAGTTGCACTCCTTTGATGTTGACTGCTTGCCGACGATTTAATAGCCTACATAATTATTATTAATCAGATAAATCGCGCACGCAAGCTAAATAAAGCTTTATCGCTGCGCGCGAGTGTCCGTATTACTTTGCATCTTTTCCCCTTCCTACGTCACGACGGACTTTCCGTGGTTACTAAGAGCTATGCAACTATATAATAAGACTAAAAAATACATTTGGAAATAGCAAGTAAGTTACTTAGGTAAAGTACCTATTCTGACTATGATCGACCATATTTCCCTTACTATGTGAGTTCTGTGATGCCCAACGCATGCAACTTGCAAGGCCATTTGTTGAGAATCGCTATTTTTGGCTCAGAAGAAATATGTAGATAGTGTAAACAACAAATAAACCCGAAATACGATTCCTAACAGAAATGTGATCGTATTCTACTTAGTTCAAAATCTTCTAAACAAAGTTTTGTTTTCAATATTTTGTGTTATAATAACTTAATAAATATTTTAATTACAAAAGACAAGTATATAAATAAGTAATAATAAAGTAAAATAAGTGAAATTTTCGCTATAAGTACTTATCTAACAAAAAAAGAAATATATTTACCTTTCATTATCCTTCGGTAACTTAAAAAATGATATATCTGAATTCTTTTGTTTCCTCATTAAGCATCCATCCACGCAACAATTATAGTAGGAACGACGTTTTGCTATTATAATTTATCAAATAGATAGGTATTATATATGTATATTATTCTTAATTACATTAAAACTTTTTCAACAATTTTATTTTCCATTAAATATACTAAACACTAAACAAAAACTATATCGACGAATATTTCAACAAGTATTTACAACAAACTATTTACGTAAACAGCGTTATAAAACTTTAATATTCATTTGCCTAGAACGCGCTAGCCCTGACTGCGTTGTATTCCTAGGTAGGGCGCCTCGCGATTGTAGGTAATTATTTCACGCATGTAGCAAGAGCAAGAGTGACAGAGGCACAGTATAAATACAGAGGTCTGCCCTAGCATACACGCTGGCCGCGTGAATACCTACGCGGGCGGCGGCATCGCCGGACATCAAAGGCGTTTCACAACTGTAATGCCTCCTCTACACTACTCGCGAAGTAGATCGAAGTTGGACGAGGCGAATAGTGTAGAGAGGTACTTCGATTCACTTCGTCCAACCTCGCTTCGCCTCGGGCGACTTCCGATCGCTGTCGGTTTTTTGCGCCAGAGTCAAAGGGCTTCGCGAAGTACCTCGAAGTTACACGAAGCGTCTCACTACACTACTCGGCTTGCGCCAGTGATGAATATTTTTTTATATATATAAATAATAAATATATAGCTTTCTACATAATTATTTATTTAGTTAACGCATTGACGTCGTACTGTTCACACAATTAGGTACATAAAGCAGCTGCCTCTTGAACGTCATTCATGTTAACGGTGCGGGAGACTCAAGACGACTGAGCTCTTCACGAAGTAGCACGAGTGTGTGGTCACGTTCATCGGACTGCGATCGACTTCGACGAGCACTTCGTCAAAGTTACTTCGCGAGTAGTGTAGAGGAAGCATAAGGTCTTAAAACTGTGCTATAACCATAGAATTATTACGCAATAGAATTATTGCGTAATAATTCTATGGCTATAACTGACCATACTAAGCTACAGCATATTCGTTTTCTTACGTTTGTAATATACATATAACCGGTATTTAAATCAGTATGCAAATAATTAATTGTTATTGATATTTAACAATAAAACTTTCATGTCGTGAGTTCATGAGTACCGTAATAAATTCCATATACAAAAAATTAGACATTTAAATTTCCTAAAAAAAAAAAACATTAAGTATTCGAAATTTAAATGTTTTTATTTTGCGTTTAACCTTATACCACAGAATAAACAATAATACAAATGCTTACATGAAATTTTTTAATACGATACATCCATGTAACAAAAAATCTCAATCTCAATTTCTTTCATGAATCTTAATATGTATAAGAATATTAATATAAGAGCCGAACGAGGGCTCTCCAGCATTGGGATTGGGTTTCGGAAGATGTACCAGCTCTCTTCTATCACAAAAAATTGAGGCCTAAGCGACGAAGGCACGACAAATATCGTTGTCTGCTATATGGAGTATGGAAGCCGTCCGTATTATAAAAAATATGGAGGAGCTCCTATTCCACTTTTGCAATAATGACAATTACAACACACAGAGGCATAGTTGTGAATTCACTCCGTCACAGTTTAAATTAAAGTGTATTTGTAAGATGGAGCAAATCGTGAGTGATCGCGTGCATTTACAAGTACGTTTACGTGCAAGTGTATGAGAATGCGTGTGTTTTTTATTTGAGAATTAATTTTTATTTTCATTTTTTTTTCTTGAAATATTAAATCATATAAATTGAAAAGGAATTGTAAATCAGACAATACTTACACAGCTTCTAATAGGTATAGCGTGGCCCCAAATCTCTGGCACAGTACTCGTAAAATGCTCGCCTGCATTGTCCACTACTTCAGGTAAGATGGATTTCGGTATATTAAATAATGGCATCGCCCAACCTGCCCACTGCATTGTGAAGGGGTCGAATAAACCCGTCGCTGAGGCAGAGGATACGTCCGACATGTGGACCTTGTTACCTGACCATCAAAAGATTAGTCAGTCGGTAAAAGGTGTTTTTATATATTTTGTACAACGCTAGTCACACACATTTCACTATATATACTATAATATACTAATATAAAAGATACCAACCGCTAAACAAACCACAGATGGTTCCAGGCTTTACCATTTGCTTTTTTGTTAAAAAAACTTTACCCCCCCACTCTAAGATTTTCTTCTGTATCGTGGAGGCAGCATACATACATAAATTTTACACCGACAAATATCCAGATCCAGAACAATTACTTGTTGGTCTTAAGCCACGGCCACACACATCGCGATAGCGCGAATATTCGCGTTATCGCAATGTATGTTGCCGTCCCTTCGTGAATACTTCGTCACTTCGTGCGAAATTGCAAGCACATCGTTACGCTGTCGGTAAATTCTCGGGGTTTTATGGCGATAGACTTCGCTTGTGCAGCCACACTTTAGTCTGCCCACAGATATCATGAGTAGCGGATGTGTTAAAGTAAATTGGGCTTTGCGACATATTTCCGACATACGAGTAGATTGGTGTAATGAAAAAATTTTGGAGTTTATGAGTAAAATCGTATTTTTTATTAAACGAAGCTGCCTGACAGATGCTAAAGTCACTTTGAGAAATAATGTTGCCAGTATCATTGTAATAGTGATGCGTTCAGTCAGTCAGTATACGATGACTTGATGATTATGACTAAATTTAAATTAACCTATCTTGATTGACATTGTGAAACTTGTTGACCAATATTATATCATTGAAATAAAGAGAAAAAAATATTGTTAGTAAGAATAATAATTTAATACTATTTTGACTCGAGGGGGCGCTCTGACTTTCGGAACGCACCCTGCGCCCGCCGTGTCGGTCGCCATTTTGTGTGTCATTTGTCTTGTCATTCATTCGGCTTCTAACCTCTGGTCTGATCGCTCGAATATTTTCTTCGCGCGCCGTTCTCCTGTTGCTTTTCTTTAGTTTCTTGTTAAGTTTTTTGTTACGTTGTATTAGTGTTATTTGTTATTGTTGAGTAATTGTGTTTTTATAATGTTTCGTACAAACGATATGGAACCTCAACCAAGCACGTCGAGCTAAAGCTCTTTTTCCCCCAAAAAAGAAGAGACCACGGGCTTCTCTTAGCGTTAACGAAAAGCTTATGGTATGCAATGTCTACAAATACGTATTTGAGCAGGATTTATTACCAAGATGAAACCTGGATCAAAGAAGGTAATTAAAATTTTCTCTGTTTTATTTATCTATTACAGTGTAGGCATAGCATGCCACCGGTGAATATAATGAGAAATTGGTATTTTTCATTTGCTCGAAGGTCATACACCGAAGAAGCAATGGATTGACCAGACTGTACAATCGTCCCGGCAGGCATTTTTAGAAGGGTTGACCACCGGCTTGAAAGGGCTTTCAGGAAAATGCAAACGGCTAATTATTAGCCATATAGGCGGGGAAGAAGGATTTATAGAAGATAGCTTATTTGTGTTTGAGGCTAAAAAAGGAAAAGAAGATTACCATCAAGAGATGAATGCTGAGTATTTTGAGGAGTGGTTTAGTGGGGTTTTGCCCAAACTAAAACCTGATTCCGTAGTGGTAATGGATGCCCCCTATCACTCCAGAAAGTTAGAATCGCTGCCTACAATGTCTTGAAATAAACCAAGAATACAAGAGTGGATGGTGAGCAAAAATATCCCATTCGGGACACAAATGGTAAAAGCTACTCTTATAGACATTGTACGGCAGTACAAACATGAACACTGCGAAAAGTATGCCGTACGTTTGCCCCCTTACCATTGTGAGCTCAATCCCATTGAGCTGATTTAAACGCAGGCCAAAGGGTATGTTGCAAGAAACAACAAGACTTTCAAAATGAAAGATGTAAAAAAACTTTTCGAAGAAGGACTAAATGAAGTGACTGCCGACAAATGGAGTAGCTGCGTGGCTCACATAATAAAAGAAGAAGACAAAATGTTTAATCTCGACCACACGATCGAGTGTCTCAGACAAGTTTATAATAAATGTTACTGACAGTGATAGTGATGATATTATATCTGATGACACGATGAATAAAAAAATGTAATACTTAAGCATAGTTTTTTTTTTATGAAATCCCTATGACGACATGCACTATGGATAATTTTCGCCTGATGAACTGACAACTTAAATAAATCTTGACGTAATTTTTATAACCTCCAGTTAAAAAAAATTACCATTTAGTCGTTTTCTTTATCAGTCAGTCATTTTGTTTTCCGTTCAGTCATTTAGTCACAACACTATTTTTGATTCATAAAAACCTGACAACCCAGTAAACGTCACGCAGCTTCGTTTAATTAAAAATACGACTTTAATTATGAGTCCGAGCCGATATTATTTACTATATTTGTCTTATTTTATAAAAACTCAATACACAATAGACACAATAATAAAAAATACTTATTCGCTGCCATATAATACAGAGCAACAGTGGCGTTCATGTTGTGTTTAGCGTGTGTTTAGCGCGATAAAATTTACAACGCGCAGTGTGACCATACAACTTCGCGGTAGGCCGAAGGCAAAGTTTTATCACAATAATTCTATCGTGACGTGTGTGTCCGAGGCAGTACAAAATATTTGTTTCGCGCTCACAGCCCTCAGCGTCGCAACTCATTGCTAAGCCACTGCGCCATGTAACCGTTGTTGTTAAGAAATTTTTTTATTCAATATAGATTTAATATCTTAGCTCATTGACAGTTACTTATTGTTTACCACTCATTCTAAAAATAAACCTGTCTTAAAAATAAGTAGCAAGAAACACAATGGAGGACAAACCCATTGTGTTTCAAAGTAATAGTTTATATTATGTTCATAGTATGCAAATAACATTATTAACAGCTTGGTAGCGATTACAATACTAACTGTGGGGTGGAGCTTAGTAATTGTAATTACTAGCTTGAGTTAGTTCCTAAGTTTGTTTCTAATAATTTGCTTTAAGACTTATGTCCTACTTACATTTTTTTTATAGGAGAGGGGGCAAACGAGCATGCGGCTCACCTGATAGTAAGTGACTACCACCGCCCATGAACAACTGCAACACCAGGGGAATTGCAGATGCGTTGCCGGCCTTTTAAAAAGGAGTAGGCTCTTTTCTTGAAGGTCCCTAAGTCGTACCGGTCCGGAAAAATCGCTGGTGGTAATCGATTCCACAAGGAAGTTGTGCGAGAAAGAAAACATCTTCTAAATCGCACAGTGGTGGACCGCCAATCATCCAGATAGTATGGATAGTATCGCGAGTTTTGTGGCGATGTGCGATGGTGAAATTGAGCGGCTGGAATTAGTCCGAACAATTCCTCAGAGCACTCCCCGTGGTACATGCGATAAAATACGCAAATCTCTACGCAGTGCCAGTGAGTCAAGCTGACTGGAAAAAACTCGGTCGTCGACGATTCGAACCGCTCTGCGCTGGATGCGGTCAAGTGGAAGGAGCTGGCACTGGGGAGCCCCTGCCCAGAGATGGGAACAGTATTCCATGTGAGGCTGAACCTGCGCCTTGTAAAGTTGCAGACGGTGTGCCGGCATGAAATACTGTCCCGCTCTGCTGAGCACGCCAAGCTTTTTAGAGGTCAATTTGGCCTTCTCTTCCAAGTGACCACGAAACTGCACGTCACGCGATATGTCGAGGATTCCGATACTGGCTGAGGCAACAAGGGGAGTGCCTTGGTACTAAGGAGATACGACAAAGGGGTTCCTTTCAGCGGTAAACGCGCAAACTTGTGTCTTCTGAGGATCGAACTGGACTAGGTTTAGTCACTCCCAATCCGAGACATTGTTCAACAAAGTTTCGACTTCAGACACAAGTTTGTCCCGGTACTCGGCGACGTTTTCCCGAGAAATACTGGCACGGCCGGTGTATAGAGCATCACCAGTGCTGTCATCTGTATAGCAATGTATGTTACTGGTTTGCAACATATCATTGATATACAGAAGAAACAACGTTGGTGATAGCACGCAGCCTTGTGGAACACCAGCGTTTAATATGCTTGTAATCGGATCATGCAGCGTCTAATACGACCTTGATGCTCCGATCAGCCAGAAAACTGGTGATCCAATTGCACAATTTCTCGGGAAACCCTAAAATAAGGAAGCTTCGAAAGAAGCGCTTTGTGCCAGACCCGATCGAAGGCCTTCGCTTTGTCCAAACTAACGGCCAATGCCTCCCCAGTGGACTCGATCGCCTGCGCTCATCTATGTGTTAGATAAACAAGAAGATCACCAGCTGAGCGACCCCGAAGAAAACCGTACTAGCAATCACTAATCAGCTGGTGCCCCTCAAGGTACCGCGTAAGGTGACAGTTAATAATGGACTCCATAATTTTCGAGATCAAGGACGTGATGGCGATAGGTCTGTAATTGGACGGATCAGAGCGGTTACCTTTTTAGGGATCGAGTGCACAAAAGCTGTCTTCCATGAATTCGGGACAACGCCAAGGGAGTAGGAGTACCGAAAACGACACGTTAATTCCGGTGCCAACTCTGGAGCGCACGTCCTCAGCACAATTGGCGGGATTCCGTCAGTCCCACGCGACTTGTGGATGTCCAGGGAGAGGAGTGCTTTGCGTACTGAGCACTGTGTGAATCGCGCATCAGGCATAGAGCAGTCACACTGCGGGATAGTCGGCGGTGTGTTCCCCCCGTCATCAAGAGTTGAGTTGGACACAAAAAGGGAGCCTAAACGGTCGGCTTTCTCTTGCGGCGTGGGCCAGTGAGTCATTCTCCCTGTGCAGAGATGGTAGTGATGGCTTTTTTACTTAAGTAATACATAATATTAATTACTACGAGCTGATAAATAAATTTGAATATACGTGACAGAGACATAATACGACTATATTCTTGCTGTTATACATGGTAGAACCATGCTGCAGCTATATTATGGCTATAGTACGTTTCTAAACATTTTGATTTCGCGGCGCCCTTGTCAAATATGTGTAAAATAACTATAGTAAGGAATAGTATATTTTAAAAAACTACTTGTGCCTATCAAAAGGCAAGTATTTAATATTGTTTCATCCATTACAGTCTTATAGACTAAGTCCACTGCTGAAAATAGGCCTCCCCCATAGACGCCTCATATTTTCCCAAAGTGTCAAACCGTTTTTTTTTAAATAGTTTTGAGTTGTTATTAGAAAGATGCTGCTGTCCATCAGTTTTTCTCTATCGCCTATTACGACACTCACAACGATATGGGGTGATGGCCATTTTACACAATATTACACCCCCACTACACGGCTAAATAATGACGTAATAATATTAAAGTACAGGTAAACCACTTATTTGGCGGATCGCCCGCGGGGTAATAAGTTTGGAGGGAGCGACGTACGGACGATACAGGGCAGTCAGGCGGGGTAACATTTTTCATGTTTTTCACTCGCGGTTCTGTCACGGACGTTTGTAACAAAGTGCACACGAGATTAAAGTGACACGATCAATGCCAAAATGAATCGTCCTCAAATTTTTGGTAAGAAAATTAGCAGGCAAACGAAACAAATGGCGTAGGTACAACGTTTATTATTTTTTCAAAGCTAGAAAACAAGATCGAAGTTCTACGGAGTATCTACAAGACCTAAATTTGAACAAAATTGTTGCACAAGCAACAGGACTCTCATTGTCTACTGTAAGTAAAATTATTAAAGAAGGCAACGATCTTAAACGTGAACAGAATAACGCGGTTTTTAAATCGCCAACAAAAAAGAAACAAAATCGTAAGAAATAAAAATTTAAATAGATAATTTTACATAAGGCGTAATAAGACGAAAGTTAACTCCATTTTATACTAATTTTCAAAAAGGTTCCCACATTAAAAATTTTAAATGCCGATCTTTAAGAAGACGGAATTATTAATTGCAGTCTGAGAATATTGTTGCACAAACTTGGCTTTAAATTTCACATAATTATAAACAATAAATAAATTAAATATTAAAAATAAAATAAATACTCCTATTATGTTGCAAACCCACTTTATATTTCAGCAACAGTTGCTTAAACTAAAAAATTTACATAGCGAGATAAAGATAAATTTGCATTGTTTCATATTGCGTTCACCGCATTATCACGGGATTTAACTTGGGTTAATTAACTAGATACGTGGGAGCCGATTCCCGCCCCCGCATACTTCCACACCGCGCGAGCAATCCATCAATTAAGTGGTTTATCTGTAGTAAGTAAAGTGGTAAGTCTATAATATCATCATCATCATTACAGCCCTTCACAAGTCCACTGCTGAACATAGGCCTCCCCCAAGGAATGCCACAAAGCACGGTCCCGAGCCACCTGCATCCAACGACTTCCTGCATATCTTACCAGGTCATCACTCCATCTAGTGGGGGGACGCCCAACACTTCGCCTGCCGGTACGAGGCTGCCACTCGAGAACCTTTTTTCCCCATCGGTTGTCGGTTCTTCGATCTATATGGCCGCCCCACTGCCACTTCAGCTTACTAATCCGTTGGGCTATGTCGGTCACTCTGGTTCTACTGCGGATATCCTCATTTCTGAGTTTATCACGCAGAGAAACTCCGAGCATAGCCCTCTTCATAGCTCGCTGAGCGACCTTGAGCTTCCTCATCCGCCCAGCAGTGAAGGACCACGTCTCAGTTCCGTATGTCATCACTGGCAACACGCACTGGTTGTACAGTCTCGTTTTCAAGTTTTGAGGTATACCTGACGAGAAGATGTGCCGTAATTTTCGAACGCTGCCCAACCGAGTTGAATCCGTCGATTGACCTCTCGGTCGAAGTTGGACTTACCTAGTCGGACTATTTGTCCCAGGTAAACATACTCGTCAACAACTTCGAGCTTAGTGCTCCCAACAACTACCGGCATAGATGTGACATGGACATTAAACTTGATCTTTGTTTTGTCCATGTTCATCTTAAGACCTATCCGTTGGGAACACGGAATATAAACTTGAAAACGTCTTTCAATGCAGCGGTGAAGAGTTTCGGGGATGTGACGTCACCCTGTCTTACACCTCACTGCAATTGGATAGTTTTCGTACGCTGGTTCTGTACTCGGATAGCCCATAACCAATGACATTAATAAACGGCCCCCAGTCCCCGGCGGCCCCGCTATTCCTGGCTACGGTGGCGAACATGATAACGGCGGGGCAGGGGTGCTAAGAGTCTCCAGTAGAGGTTTGGTTGCCACCTACGACGACACGACCTGGCAACTTATAACGCACGCACCCTAAGGGCTGTCGAGAAGATCCTGGAGCTGGAAGAAGAAATAGACAAGTTGCGCTGGAATATTATAGGATTATCTTAAGTCAGAAGAGAGGGGGTGGACAAGATAATCCTCGAATCCGTCAACTTGTTCTATCACCGGGAGGGCGACCATCTGTCCCAAGGAGGTGTCGGATTTGTCGTCCACAGATCTCTCGTTAACAACGTTGTAAAGATTGGGAGTGTGTCGACGGGGATTGCGTACCTTATGCTCAGAATCACCAAACGGTATTTGCTGAAGGTCATACAGGTTTACGCACTAACCTCGGCACATCCCGATGAGAAGGTGGAGGAAATGTATGAGGGTATCTCTAGAGCCATTCCTCCAAAACCCACTATATGATGTTAATGGGAGACTTCAATGCAAAATTAGACACAAGAGAGAACGGTGAGCTGAAAGTAGGGAAATTCGGAATAGGGCAACGGAACCCAAGGGGCCAGCAGCTGGCCGACTTCATGGAGAAAGAGAGACTCTTTATGATGAACTCTTTCTTCCAGAAGCGGCCCCACATGAATTGAACTTGGTCGAACCCGAACTGGTCTTCATTATGACGACCAGACGACAACTGTTCAGTGATATCTCAGTGATCGCGAGGATGAAAACTGGTAGCGATCACCGAATGGTTAGAGGCACACTGAACCTAAACGTTAAGTTGGAGAGGTCTCGTTTAATGAAGTCAACGCTCCGTCCCCCTCGTGCTCTAATCCAAAGTCCCGAAACCTTTCAGCTCGAGTTACAAAATCGTTTTCAGTGCCTAGAAGATTGAAATTCAGTCATCAATATAAATGACAAGCTCGTGGAAACTGTCAATGCGGTCGGAGCTGAGTTTTGCAAGACCCGCCGCAGAAGAACACAAAAACTCTCCGATCACACTCTTAATCTCATGGCTGTTAGACAGGAAATGAAGTTGCAGTCTTCAGTAGATTTGATAGCATACAGGCAACTGAACAGACAGATCTCCAAACGCATACGGCGGGACTTATGCAACTATAATACTGCTCGTGTTGAAGAAGCGATCGAGGGGAACCGGGGCTCCAAAGTCTTTGCCAGAGATCTGTTTGCCAGGAAGTGCCAACGTCGAAGCTGAAAACCGAATGTGGCAGCATCGTTTCCGAGACACCTGAGATTTTGAGAGAATTTGAGAGGTTCTATGGACAGCTGTACACGTCATCGTTGGAGCCACACAGAAGTGTGAGTAACGATCCAAGAGCAAGTCTTATCCGACACTATTCCGATGATATCCCGGACGTCAGTCTGAGCGAGATTATATTACACAGAGTCAGTAATTCATTCTTCGGGCAATGTATACGCTATTACAACAAAGTCCCAGAAAATATACAAGCTCTCTCTATTACCGAGTTTGAATGTTTTATTCAACTAGAACTCTATAAAAAATGGTTATTTTAATTTAAATGAATACATGGTTGACAATAAACCCTGGGAATGAGAGTGTCGCTTCCAAGCTGTTTCTAAAATAAAATTTGTAAATAGTTTGTGCGACCATTCATGTAAAATTTACTTTAAAAAAAAGTCCTGTTGGGTTTCTTGCAGGTTCTTCCCAAGAGAGAGGTGTTTATTCGAAGTCACTGGTAAAGTAAAAAATGCCTTTCAATAAGAATTATACATGTGTTCTATATTGAATAGAAATATTCTGTTCTTTTCTATAGGTATTGTTAAAGTTGAAATTAAAACTTAAACAAAATAGTACCATGGCATTTAAAAAAAATCAGACTCCCAGAGTTTCTTGCTGATTCTTCTCTAATTCTTGTTTTGAAAACCGGTGTAAAATCTGTATTTCACACAAGCCAAAACAAATTAATTTAAGCAAATTGAACAATAAAGTTTTGAATTTGTCTAATTAATTTTACATAAAAAACTTTATATTGTTAACTAACGCGATTACTGCATAATGAACAAAAGTAATTTAATTCTACATACTCCATACGTTTAATTTTAACTTATTTTTACTTCCCGGACTGGACTGAGGTATTTGTCCTGACGTCATTGTTAAACCAAGCTACCTTCAGCCTCACCTTGATCTTTTTCTTTTTTGTCTATAAAGTGAGAACCAACCCGCGTAAAATAACATTTAGGTGATGCGCAACACCGACGCACAGGGAAATTCCAGTCTGTGAACATTTTCTGGGTAGTTCCCGTCACCAAATAAGATTTGGTAAACCACAGATCCCCGAAAAGGAACACCGATTCCTACCAATGATGGTGACCCACGAGTTAGCCATAGCTAACAACATGATATGATATAATTGATTTTATCGGGATGTCAAACACCTCAGTTCCGCCGTTATAATGGCCGGGGGTGCTTGACACATAAAAATAGTTCTATTAAATTTAAACAAATTCAATATGTTTCTTCAAGTCTTAGAGCACAATGTGCTATAAAACTTTAAGAAACATGTCATATTACCTGTGAGTTTGTACAACAGCCAAGTTTCCAAGGTTCCGAACATCGCGTCATTATTCTGCACAGCGTTTTTCAACGCTGGTATATTTTGTAGCGCCCAGCATAATCTCAGTAGAGTCTGTAAATATAAAAACGTGAAAAGAGAAAAAAAAAATTATATAATTTTTAAGCCTGTGTAAGTAAAGTAAGCAACTAAAGTAAATTTAGTCTTAGCTAATTACGAGTATGTTAGCTGACTTCAAAAAACGGAACAGGTTAACAATACGTCTCTAAAACAATATAAAATTGCTAAAACAATTTTATATTGTTTTAGCAATTTTATATTGTTGGACTTGGACTTCTAAAACAAAACCGTTAAGCATAAAATGAATTTTCCATTATTTTTAAAGACTACAGTAAAGATACTATTTAGGTTTACGATTGTTTTATTTAATTATTACAAATTATTAATATATGTTAAATAGCAAAAGAACGGCGAAATAACAAGGTTTAATATATTTCCCAACACGCAATAAGGTAATAATGTGTGAATGGTGGGATCGGAAGGGCATCGTTTATTATGAGCTTTTACCGCCGGGCAAAACCATCGACTCGGATCTCTACTGCCAATAACTAAGGAGACTCAAGCAAGAAATTGAGAAAAAACGGCCGGAATTGTTCAACAGAAAAGGAGTCATCATGATAACGTCAGACCACACACATATTCTCAATCACACTCAGCAAAAGTTGAGAGAGCTTGGTTAGGAAGTGTTAATGCATATATAGCCCTGACCTCAGATTTTCCCCTGTTTCAGTTTCTTCAGAATTCTTTGGGTTAACAGCAAAAGAGGACTGTCAAAACTGTCGCATTTCTTTGATCAAAAGTCCCAAGATTTCTACAGCAACTGGATTACAAGATGACAACAAGTTATCGAACAAAATGGCACATATATATTATAATTAAATCTAATTAGTATATAGTATACAAATAACTATGCAGATATATGTCTCTTTAGCAATATACATATACTTGGCTGATTCATGTAAGGAGCGTTGTCTTTAACAGATAATCATGATGCAACTTTTTATAAGCAAACTTATTGGGTGCTTCTCTGATGTCATCAGGCAAGGATTTCCAAAGACATGTAACCTGAACTTTCAAGGAGTTATCATAGAACTCAGTGATGAGGAATACAAATTTGTTGTTAGAAGAAGACGTACAAAATAACAACGTAGAAATCTATCATTACATGAAGAGATATTTAAAATTTACTCTTAAGATAAGAAGGCAAAGATGGGTAATTTAATATAGAAAAAGAACAAGCAAAATCTGGTATTGCGCCTCTGTCGGATTGTAAGCTAGTTAAGCTTAGATCTATATTGCCAAATATGATTATATTTACGAAGTTTTTATAGATTACGTCAATCGTAAATCGTAAATTTTAATAACTTTTTTTTAGGTACGTCAGGGCTGATCCCACATAAATTTCAAGAAAAAATTCTACCCTAAGTGTGAAATATAAGGTAAGAAAATTTTAATCTTTCTTAAAAAGCAAAATGTTAACTTAAATTATAATCCAAATAATAGCTTCAAAAGTAGGGGCTAATAATTTTACAACTATGCCTGAAAGTATTATGCGGTGATTATTTCATTCATTTTGGTTCTTTGAAGTCGGCTTTTATTACAGGGTGGAATTGTTTTTACATACTTATAGAATTGATTTAACGCACTGAAAGAGGAATGACTCAAACGCTTAATGCTCGCAAGAAATTATTAAATAATTGAACACAAAGATTCAAAGTACGGAGGTCAAACAAGTCAAGGGCTGCATAACTTGTTGATACGTACAATATAATACAAAAACCTATAATCCATGATATTTTATGTATAACAATTTTAAAGATTTCCTTTTTATCTTGATAATATAATGATACTGCCTGGATTAGTGATTAGTAAGCACCGGTGATGCTGGTTCCGGATACCAATCAGTGAAATTTGAGTAATGCACAAACGGATAAATTTTATATTTTTTCAAGTCAGATTGCGCCGGTGTATGGTATACGGTATGACCTTGTAATGGAGGTGTAAGAATATCCACTTCCCCGTGTCGTGTCGTAGGCTCGTAGGTCAGAGGGAAATAAACCAGGAGATTGGTAGCAGCGTCTTTATAATATTAACTAACAATTAAAAAGTCTTACCTGATTATTAGTAAATTTCATAACGCTTCCAGCTCTAAAACGTTTGTTTCTTGTTACCATATGAAGAACATAGGCGCCTAATTTTATTGCCTAGAATAATTACTTTAATTAGGTTTAAAGAAACTTTATTCTCAATAAAGACATGTGACTCACTTGAGAACAATATTAATACATTCATAAATTATACAAAGTTCGTCGTCATCAGTTACAAACTAGATAGACCCATTCAATGCCTTCATTTCTCCAGAACTGATCGATCCGTAATTATATACTGATTAAATTGAGTTTTGAATGCATTGAAAGAGTGTAAATTTCTTATAATAGGCGTATTCTATTATAAAGCTCCTTCAAAAGTAAGATTTTTTTTGCCATAGTTTATTACTAGTTTTGGGTAAGTCTACTAAGCTAGCTCGTCGTGTGCGACGTTGACTGATTTGTTTATATTGGGTGAGTGTTATGTTTGTGTGAATACGATAAGAATTTTTCTAATGATAATACATGTATGGTAAATATATATTTGTTTGATATTTATTATTTTTGTATATATATAAATTTTACAGTTTGCTTTTAAATATGGATAGTTGAAAAGTATTTTTATGAGTTTATTTTGGGTAAGTAATTTGAAGTTCTGCCAGTTTTTGTTTTGTTTTAATTTATTAGAAAATAGTGAGTAGTGAAAGAGAACGTATGAAAATTTCTAAGGAGAAGATGAAAACCGATAACAAATTTTCGTACGGAATTGTTAAACAGCGGCGACCAGAACACGGCTGAAGTTTTTTAACTTGTGTAAATAAAAATAGAAGATTTATTATCGTCTTGTAACTGTGAATTAAACATGGAATAATATGATCCAGAATCGAAACAAAAATCTTTGCAAAGTGATCGAAAAATAACTTTAAACTTGAACTTAAGGCTTCAAAACACATGGTGACAATTTTTTTTTATTTTGTCAACGGACATCTCACTAGAATCCAATTGTTCTATTATGCCATTTTATGCTCTGTTATGCCCGTCCGAAAAAGTACGTTGGTTATTTTGAAAAAAGGAGAGGCAAATTCAAAAACGGAATTTTGTATTTGCAAGACAAATCACCAGTTAAAACAGAAAAGTAAAAATTTATTGAACATGAGAAGGACAAAAAATTAAATAAAATGAAACAGAAACTCGAACACTAGGAGGATGATATTTTTTGGGGTTATCTTGAGTTTATATACTCAGGTTTAGATTTTCTTGTTAGTTTCTAGCACAGAACTTTCCAACTGCCCCTAGTAAATCACAGCTGCTTAAGAAACATATTGTGAAACATATTGAAGTGAAAACTTCTTTAAAATCGTTGTGATTTAAAATTCGACGACGCTAAAAAAAGAAAAACATAATGTACATCTATATGATTTAGAATGCGAGAGGATAGATAAACATGTATGGAAATAAATCATATGATCTATGAGCTGTAAGGATTAAGGACGAAATTAGTTGATTAGAAAATATTTAAGTACTTACGATGATGAAATTTAAAACTTATATGAGTCTTTATAATGTGTAATGTAAAATAATTTTTAAACTTTGTAACAATATTATAATTTTTTATAGGATAGTGACAAACGAGTGTGGTTGCTGTGGCCTATAGACATCTACATCTACCCTCGTTTGCGAATCAAAATGCAGTTGCGTTGTCACCCATGAGGACTAAGATGGAATGCCCCTTTTCCAGTAAAATGGGTCTCCGGTTCTCTACACTCACCATACGAAACACAGCTGTGTTAAGCTGCCATTTTACGCTGGTATTCTGTGACAGCGTGGTCCTTCCCCGGTCGAGCCGACCCATTCGGGCTACAACTATACAAGTAATATAGCTGCAGCATGGCTCTACCACGTAAAAAAATATATAAACCCTACAATTACCCCACTCCTAATAATCTGCATCCGTCTCATTCTCTCGAAATCAGTTTTATGAAGGTTTCGCTTCTACCGCGTGTGAACTGCACAGGTTTTTTTAACTCACTATTATTTAATGAAATGCGTACACTTAAACTTATCATCCTTGTTAATTAAAAAAAAATATTATACAAATACATTTTTACAAACCTTCCAAGTGTACGAATAATTCCATTCTGTAACGAGTTTATCAGCCCTTATGTCCTTCCATGTACAAAATCTATGGAACGTTCTTCCCGTTTTACGCGACCAAGTTATGAATGTACTGCGCTGGGTTGAAATACCCATCGCTGTGATTTGTGCTGCTGAAAGGCTGGCATCTGGTAATAAAAACCCCATGATCAACGAAGACGTTTATCTAGATAATTTAAATAATACATACCTATAATGAAATAGCAATCACATGATTGTACCTGTATGATGGCCTGTACATGGGCCAATGACCACACTGAGGTGTTGAAATAACCTAGTTGTCTCCTAGTCACCGCAGTCCGATTGGTAGACACAAGAATAAATAATATTATCAATTCCTGAGTCTATAAAACCGGGTTTCAGTTCGGGAATTTTGATGTGAAAGATGCAGCTCGCTCTGTAAGTCGTGTAAGTCGATGCAATTTTTGAAAAAGTGGAGTAAGATTGGCATATTAGTAGTTACGACATAGGCGAGGAATTGAGGATCGACCACTAAACAGTTGTGACCCATTTGATAGTCTGGCTATACAAAAAATATCGATATTTGGGTACTACACGAGCTCACTCAAAGAAACCTAATCAATTGTGTATTCATTTGCAATTCTCTATTGAAACGTAATGAAACCGAACCATTTTTGACAAAATTGATCACTGGTGATGAAAAGTGGATCACCTACGACAAGGACATGCGACAAAGATCACGGTCAAAGGCTAGTCAAGCTCCACAGACTGTAGCGAAACCCAGATTAACACGCAATAAGGTGATGCTGTGTGTATGGTGGGATTGGAAAGACATTGTTGATTATGAGCTTTTACCGCCGCGCCGGGCAAAACCATCGATTCGGATCTCTACTGCCAACAACTAATGAGAATCAAGCAAGAAATTGAGAAAAAACGGCCGGAATTGATGAAAAAACACATCTTTGGCCACTCAGCAAAAATTGACAGAGCTTGGTTGAGAAGTGTTAATACCCACCATATAGCTCTGAGCTTGCACCCTCAGATTTTCACCTGTTTCTGACTGAAACTACTTTCAAAAGTACTTATCGAATTTTTTAGATCAAAAATCCCAAGATTTCTGTAGCAACGGGATAATGTCACCGCCTACAAGAATGCAACAAGTTATCAAACAAAATAGCACATATCATCGTTGCGCCTGCAAAAATTGCTATGTGCTTTATTATGATTTTATATTTTTAATATCAATTTGATGCTTATTTCAATACACACAATCTGTAAAAACAAATATGTGATAAGTTCGATATTCACGGAGATACAAAATGTAGCCATGTGACGTTCATACATTAAATGTTCCTTTAAAACCACCACGTGTCACTAATCACATAGCTATAAAAAAAATACTGTAGATTAAACTCATCGGTTGCGTCTGTTGTGTATTTTACATCACATAGCGACATTTTTAGACCAGTTTTGTCCTGTACCATTATGCAACGCATAATTTGAGCGTCACATAGCTTATATTTTGTACGAAGTTGTTCAGTACGCTTTTGGCGGTTTATAAGCGGTTATGTAATTATTATGAGTGTTTGTTTGTTAAGAATAGCCTTACTCCCCGTGATATCGCGTCAAGAAGGTTGGCTGCGTTTCATCGCTGAATGGCTACACTAAGCCTTTGAGCGAGAAAAAAACCAGCACTCTTATCAACAGGTAAAGTTCTTTTAGGAACTTCACCGCATCTGCACCCCATGGACCGATAGTTTCTACAGCAAATGACACAAATATCATACCGTCGGGTCTCTTGCCATCGTCTCTAAATATTCCACAACTCTATAACTGCGGGAGCATTAAAGAGGCAAGAGCCCTTTAAATGACATGGTTCAAAGAACTGTGCTGTTCACAGAAAAGTTCTGGTAGGTTTTCAAACCTACGAGAACTTTTCTTACATGAAAGTCCGTGGAGCCCAAAGTCGTCGAACGCTGCTACCACAGGAGCACTAATAAGATTGACAAATCACCGCTCGTAATGCGATGCGTAAGCTTTCCCCATCAAGTAATGTGCCGAGATTGCTTGTAACCAGTGACTAGATTCACTTGCTAGAAGGCGGACCTGATCATGATCACTATGGAAATTATGAAACAAATCTTTCTGCACACTCCGTGCCAACAGAATATCCCACTGTTTTTGTTGGTTAACTTTTAGTGGAACATGTTCGTCGGGACAGAGTTAGCCATGTCCGCCTTGCCTCCGCAGCAAAGCTCAAGACTACTTTATTATTTAAAATTATGTAACAAGTCAATCACACCATGCACGGAAACTAGGAAATCAGGCAATGCAATGGTAGAAAGATTTCTTACACCAATACCAACCAAATTTTAGGTAAGTAGAGTCCAGGCTGTTAATTTATTAGTACTAATAATTAAACTTAAATATATAATTTTTTGTATAGCTATTTTAAGATTATTATCAATATCTTTGTTTGTGTTATCGAAGTCAACTCATTACAAAATTACTATCTTAGTAATGGTATAATGTAATTATATTCACTGCTTTTTTACCTATAGGTACCAATTCAATTTTGTATTTTTAATATTATGATTTCAACGCAATGGTGGTGTACAGTGATGGATGGGTATAGCTTGTGGGGAAACTGTGATTCGCTTCACAACTAACTTGATATGCCAGTCAATGATTTAAACTTGCGCTTTATATTTTGCTACCCTTTTCAGATATCACTAATCATGTCGAGATTTTAGAGAAGCAAACAACTCGTATATATATACTCGTAAGTCGATTTGTTAGGGAGCGTGAAAAAGAATCTTGTTTTCTATTTCCTTCCGCTACAGTTACACATTGAATACCAACAGACAGAAATCACCATAGGTACGATTGTCGAAATTACGAGAAACATCACACCCCAGCTGGCGAGGAATTAACTACATTTATCACAGCAATAAGTCAAACATTAACTTTTACAACAGCTGCTAGTGTTGGTTCTCACTCTTGCTTAGAAAGACTTCTTTTGTGCCTCAAGAATTTCACCTCAGGCACTAAAATTAAATGATGCTACAATTAAAAGAGCAACCTGAACAATTTGAGCCTGTAATTCTTACAAAAAAGAATTATACAGGGTATGAGATCGTTAAAGTGACGAGAGATTGATGTTAGAAGAAGTTACTAAAATAAGTAGAAAAATGAAGGATACATGATTACATGGAGCAGCTAAAAAGTCAGACAGAAACCGTTCATGTGCTATAATAAATAATGAAACGCGGGAGGATATTTCTCAATATTTTTATCAGTTACCAACATGGGATGCAAGGGAATCGTACATCAATGAAATCCTACTTGCACCGTGATTACCACCTATTTTATGATAATTTGGACCATTGATTAGATATCATTATCATAGTACAATACTTATTTCATTTAAATACTTACTGTTTTATTTTTAACTGAATTTAGAATTCTAGCTCCTATTATTAGTCCAAATATAAATACTGTAAGACTAAGTTATTATACCGAGTATCTACCTCTTTTGTTTGTTTTCGTCAATACAATAAAATTAGTTTTTCATATTTTTCAGTTTAAGTTAATAAATCATAATAGGGACATTTATATATATGATTAAAATTAACTTTTATAAAATATCTTGGTTTATTAAATATCTATGTTGTGTTAACAATCGTGATTTTTATAAAAACTGTGACATCACTAAAATTGCTATGTGTACTTGAGGCACATAACGGATATTTATCACTCTAAAAATCACCCCATGTGTCCAAAAGTAATCTAAATCTACCTAAATATGTTAATAACATTATCATAAAAAATAATTTCATATGCTTTCAATACATTCTATGAAAACTAATTTTTTGCGTTTCCTGTAAAGTAGACCCGAAACACAGTGATTTTGTAAGCTCAGCTACGATATATATTAAAATTAAATGTAATTAAACTTTGAAAAAAATTAATTACCTTTAACCCGACCCATTATAATGGACTAATATTTACATATGCAGTAGACGCGGCTTTTTTATTTTAAAGAGAGGCCATTTATTCTCCGTCTCTTCGGTCCGTTTTTCCTAATAAGGCTTATGAAAATACTGAAATTGGGCTATATAAGATAACTAGCAGTTTACTTCAATTTGCTTAATATAAACCAAATCAAAAACAACTTTTTGCAATTTACTGTCAAGGAAAACCACATTCAAGATATTTCAATTAAATTACATCATAGTACAATATTAAATGTCAAAGTTATGACATAACTGCAACCGTTTTTCGCACATCCTTTGCCAATCGCTAAAATGGTTATCTTGTTATAAATTTTGTATAATAAAATAAACAAAAGTGGATAAAACTATAGAATAGTTTTAGCCACTTACTCTGTACAAATGTAAAACTAAGGTAAAAAGTGACTCTTTTATCATTAGATTATAAAGAAACCGAGTATTAATTTTACACAATAATGTAAAGAGACGCAGGTTGATACTTGTGCTTCATTTACGTTATCTTAATTTCAGTAATTAAATATCGTAATTCATATTTTTCACACTGATAAGATTCATCACACTTAATAAACTTTCTTTAAATATTTTTTTTAATCAACTCATACAGAGATAAGTCAGAACAACCTAGAAATAATGCCGTACGAGACGAGAATGGCTGCATTCTGAATGACGAAATTTACAGTAAAAAGAAATGGAAACAATACTTTGAAACCTTGTTAACATGGAAACATGGCATCTGAATGAAATAAATCAGAAACTCCTAAAGAAAAGGAAGGAAGGGGAGTAAGTATGGATTTAAAAAATTAAAGCAATGAAAAGCCTGGATGCAGGTAAGGCAGCTTGGAATGAAAGTATCATTAGAAATGCTGAGGGCCGGAGAGGGAGTGGTGGCATGCCTGCTGTACACTTAGTTTAATTTATGTTGGGAATTAAAGAGAGTTCCGGGAGACCAGAGCAAAGATGCCTTTATAGTCCCACTCATAAAGGGTCAAGTCTTTTCTATAAGAGCAATCGTTTCTTGAGCATTTTAGGCTTGGAAACGGTCTAGAATAGAGGGACAGAATTACTTCTAATATAGGCATTTAAATATCTAGAGGGACTAATAACTAATAGAGGGGCGTACACGGACTAGTTTGACACACATAAAGGTGTCAGAC